TATTGCCATGACATTTAATAGTTTATGATTTGCTCACCAAATAATTTACATAATTTTCTATAGAAACTGAATAAAAATTAACAATGTTGAAGAATGCTTGGAGAATAATTTTATAATTAAAATTTTAGCAGGCCAAAAGATGAGTACCTATTAATTCTTAGGGTTAGGAACAAAAGCTGTTATCTGTAATAATCTGCAGAGAGATCATAAATATTGAGACAGTAAAAAGGTATGGAAGTGTTTATTTGAAATTTTTCAGCCTAATTTATGTGTTAACCAAATAGTCACTTTATATTGATACAATTCCTACATAGAAGGGGAGTTTTACACCTATTGTGTATGGTCTTGTCATTTTTCAGGGTTGATCAAGAGGCACCATGAGGTGAAGAGCTCACTAATTCTGTGAGCAAACCATTCCCGAAACGGACACAAGAGGGCACCAAGTGTGCAGAAGCTGGTGGAAATTTAATGGTCGACATAAACTCTGGCACTTGAAGAGGAAGCCATGTTTATTTTATTCTGAGTAATATATTATGCATCTGCTTGTTTTATTTTTTAGACTGATTTGTGTCAAATGCCTTTCCAGAAATATGACATGCATGTTGGATCCAGGCAGAACTAATCTTTCAACATGGAAGTTGTACTATTTTGTACAAACTATATTCTCTGATATAATGAAGTCTTTTGTATTGAACTTGAAAAGAAATAAGGCACATATAACAAGTTGGCACATACTTTTTCTGAATTTTGCCTTTGTAGCTCCCTAAGAAGTAGTTTGGGGCCATGGGATTGTTTAACACACACACTCATGCAAATCCCTTTGTATAGACAGAGTGGTGGATCTTTGTCCAGAGGGCTCAGGGATTAATAGGGGCTGAGACTTCTGGAGAACAGAGGACACAGAGAAGTCCCTGAAGGCAGTTGGAGTTTCCCGTGGATGGGGAAGAGCAAGAGGCCTGTAAATATTAGCTGGTTTATTAGATTTTCAGGACGGTCACAGACCAGGTGCCTTAAACAGCAGAATGTGTTTTCTTTCAGTTCTACAGACTGGAAGGCCAAGACCAAGTGTTAGCTGCGTGGAATCTTCCAAGGCCTCTTCTTGACTTGCGAATGTCCATCTTCTTCCTGTGCTTTTATTGGCCTTTCTTCTGGGGGCATTTGCTCTTGGAATCTCATTGTGTAAACTTTGTTCACTCATGAGAATGTAGGCAGATTGCATTAGAGTCTCTACCAAAGGGCTTTATTTTGTTTTAACCACCTCATCAAAGACTCTCTCTTTAATACTGGTGCGTTAATGTAGTGAGGTCTCTTTAGTATTGGTGCATTTAAGGTAGTGAGGTTTAGGTCACCAGTGTGTGAATTTTAGGGAGATTCAATTCTGTCCCTAATACCTTGGTTCCTCATTGGCCCGAGTTCCTGGTGGTGGGGCTGGGGTTCCCCAGTTTGGGTGTGCTCATTAACCAGTTCCCACTGCAGCAAACACCAAGTCTATACACATCAGGTGTTCACCTTTCATTTGCTGACTGAGTGCATTTCTGCTTTGAAAGGCTGCACATTTCCCTCTGCTTGGCTGGCCTGAAATCTTCCACTGCATGACAGGTAGTAATTAACTACTGAAAGAAAGGCACAAATACTTCCTTTTAAACATTGACATTATATCCATCCAGTGAAAGACAGGGATAGAGGCAAGCACAGAGAGTTCAGGAAATGCAGAATTTCCTTGAAATAATTTCATTGAAAATTAACAAGTTGATTATTGTGAAAACAGATTCCAATTTACACATAATGGCCAATCATCTAGCTTTCCTGGCCTTTGATGACGCCCTGCCTTCCCAGGGAGAGCTGCTGTTTTACAGCACCATGATGGCTATCAAGGGCTTCTTGGGTTAATTTGCCTTTCAGACTTCAACCGCTGAAAGATAATACATTTAACTCAATTATAAGCATTCTTCTTGTTCACAGTATATTCCTTCTGGCCTGGCAGTCCTGCCTCAATACTTCTACCCTGCCCATTCCTCATTTAAGAGCACCATAACTGAGTTTCTATAGTCGGGCAGCTTACACAGGATCCCCCTATTGGCACCGAGAGCAGGGCAATTACAAAGCCTGTGTCCAGGAGTGGTTTACCACTCCAGGGAGAGTTCCTGGCCACACAGAGGCAGGGAGGTTTCCTCCACAGACCAGCAGCAAGAGCATCGGAAGCCTGGCGCTCAGGTGGCCTCTGTGGGTTACCTTGTCTAGACTTGAAAGGCCGGTCTGCAGGCACTGGAGGGAGAGAGGAGTCCTCAGCTTTGTGTCTGCTTTTAAATAATCCTCCCTCTCCTATGCACACGCCTGTTTCCCCAGGTGTTGGCTTATTGACTGATTTGAAAATCCCCAGTTTGTTTGTTTGGTTTTTCCAGACAGGGCTTCCTTCTGTAGCCCTGGCTGTCCTGGAACTCACTCTGTAGACCAGGCTGGCCTTGAACTCAGAGATCCGGAGCCCCCCTGCCTCTGCCTCCTAAATTGCTGAGATTAAAGGTGTGTGCCACCACCCCCTGGCTAAATCCCCAGGTGTTCATTTCTTATTTTATTTTTTAATTTTTAGAGATATGGGCTAAAAACCATAGGGCACTAAGTTGCCTTTGCTTTCAGAGAAACACCCCATGCTCCCTGCCCTCACTTCCACTTTCTTCTGCAAAATCCTTTTCTTGGTCTTGTCCTTTGGATGTCCCCTTCCAGGCTACTGTGACAAAGTTCTTCATACTTTTCTTACAAGACTTTTTTTTTTTTTTAATCCCTTCTGTTGGCAGGGAATTGACTCATGAATAAATGGATAATAATAACGGCTGACATTTTTGGAGCGCTGACTATTTGGCAGGCACTAAGCCGGGGGATTTGCTCGCATTATCTCACTTGATCCTCTCAACAGCTTTGTGATAAAGCCCACTACACAAAGGAAGAGCTAAAGCTGGGAGAGTTAAGTAGCTTGTCCTAGGCCATAGAATTCGGAAACAGACCTGTTTAGGGAGATTCAACACAGGGGATGGGAAATGGCCTTGCAGTGGGAATTCCAGGACTCCGAGTCACACAGAATTGGTGGCAGGTCAAAAAGCTAATGCTGCTTGCTTTTGCTTGAAGGGGTGTCAAGTGATCACTGCAGGGCTAATTTCCCCTGGGCAGCAAACGGACTCAAGCTGCCCACTCTGCCCCTGGGGACAGTTTTCGTCTGCTGCCCTGGATTCCAGCCTCTGTGGCACACTGGGATGGTCCCTGTCAGCATATGCATGTGCTTAGCATGTCTGATGGATTTAATAATCCATAATTTATTTATTAATAAGCAGATTAATAAGTAGCCTCTATGATGGTGTGACCTAGTCTTGAGGGGTTTTTTTAATGATTTATTTTTAATATTTTAAAGTTATGTGTATGTGTGTGTGTATGTGTCTATGTCTGGGTATGTACATGTGAGTGCAGGAGCCTGTGGAGGCCAGAGGCTTCAGATCTCCCTGGAGCTGTAGGCACAGTGGGTTGTGAGCTGCCTGGCATGGGTGCTGGGAAATGAACTGGGTTCCTCGGCAAGCGCAACACACACTCTTAGCTGCTGGGCCATCTTGCCAGTCCCTGGCATAATAAGGACTTTTACAAGTCCCCAAGGGGTGCCAGGGGGCCAAGTGTGGGAACCACTGGCTGAGATGCAGAGTGTGGTTAAGGCACCTTGGTGGGGAAGCAGGGCAGAGATAAACCCATGGGGCCTTCTGTGACAGAGATGTGTCCCACAGAAACTGCCGTGGGCCAGTTGCTGTTGAAGTCGGTTCGGTGGAACCTTGCTCTGCCTTCTGCTTTGGTCTGGCGAGCACACTGCTCTTGTTCACTGCCTCGGGGAAACAATTGCTATTTTGGTCCCTGGCTTCCCTGGGAAAGGTTAAAAAAAGAAGTTCAGAACCCTGGGCCCTGCTCTCCGTTCCCCTTAGCTGAGGCTCCCTTTTTGGGGGTCAGCTTTGTTGTCCGATCTCACTTGTTCCTTCTCTTGCTCTCTTCAATTTTCTCACTTAACCACATATCTCATCTGTCTCCCTGACTAAAATTTGACAAGCTCGATTAAAAAAAAAAAAAAAACAACCCACAACTTTTTCTTTTTGTAATTTTAGAAAAACAAATGCTCACATGTCTTTTATGTACTCTTCTAATTGGGAATTTACAAGTTCTTCTCTCCCTTATGAAATCCTGTCCCCTCCACTATACCATTTCCTGTGCCCCTGTTGGACCTGTTCACCTAATTATTCTTCGCTCTGTATCCTGATCGCCCACCCCAGGGAACAGCACTGCCTGTCTTCCCTCTAGGGTGGATCATAAAACACTGCAAGGATTCGTAACTCCCCTTGCATGTTACCATTATTCCATTTGGTGTTTAACTGTACTGAACATATTGAAAGGTTGAAAGAGACATTACTATTTTGGTTATTTATCTGTTGCCGAATGTGCATGCAAAGACGAAGCCTTCCTTTCAAGGATCGGCAACAGCAGCCAGGGCTCTGGGGCTGCAGAGACGGCTCACAGCAATTATGGGATCATTTCCATTTCACAACTTGTTAATTTGTCCTTGTTTGGACAATGTTAAAAAACGATAATGGTGGTTTCAGTGAAGAGGCAGGCATGAAGAGGTAAGGAAAAGAACGCAGAGGCTAGGAATGGGTGCAGGGTCAGAGCGCAAAACCAGTTCAGGTGTTACCAGTAGACGTGAGGATACCGGCCCAGCCATGGCAGGGACTCACACCAAGATGTGTGGGTGGAGAAACAATTCTCTGGGCAAAAAAAAAAAAAAAAAAACCACTGTGAAAGGGAAGAATGGAAGAGTGGGGAGAGGATACATTGTAACAGAACAAAGACGATTCCTAGGCACGCAGGGGAACAGTCAAAGGAACAGAAACCCAGGACTCAGTTGCCAGTTACAAAGGCTCACCTTCACACTTACAAATAAACACTGACGTGGTTGAACACCTGGCTGGAGACCAGTCATTCTCCAAATCAGGAACTTTCTGCAGATCGGTGGGACACAGCCGCTGCTGAAGGAACGCACAGTGCCAGAAGATGGCACCATTGTCAACGTTTGCAGGGAAAGTGGGCTGAAGGCTTGCATTTCTAGCCATTTCTGTGTGGCTCAGCCAAACAGAATGTACTTAAAGGACGGTTGTGTGTAGATTTCTGTGCTAAGGGTATCCTGTAAATGACAACAAAATGTTCCAAACCAGTTTGGTACTCCCGGAAGGCGGCACAGGGCAGGTGCGTTGGCTCTGTACATTCACTTTTTACCTAGTGGTTGCACAGTTCACTTGCTGCGAGATACTGGCGTTTGATTTCAGTGAGATTTTCAGTTCATCTTTTCCCTCACACTGGCAAAATATGTTTCCAGCTGATGGGGGCAAGTGACAGACTAATTGCATGACATTTCTAAGTTTGTATTGTTGGAAATCTATAGACATAATTGTGCCGCTCTTATTTGAGGGGGTTAAAGATCTACTCTCTGGTGCGAGCCCACCATGCTCTCCAGCTGTGGTAGGATGTATTTATCACTGTCGAGCTTGAGACAGAAATCTGGATTTTTATCTCATTTGCAGCGACTCTGAGGCAAACCATGCCTCCCTGTTGAGATTCCTGCATAGAAATACGTTTCTCAAGTCATTCTTTCCAGCTTAAACACATTAAACCCAGCAAGTTAGACCTGCAGAATAATTTCTGGACCTAAAAGAGAAATAACGGGGAAGATGTGACACTAGCCCTTTCTTTTCTTTTAGCTGTGTGCATGTTCTAGGTGTCAGCAGAAAATAGGGAGTGAGGTCAAGGTCAGAAGCAAGGCGCATAAAAGACATTATTAACGCTTTTGGTTAATTGAACTTCATACTGAATACTGTATTCAGTCAATCCCTCATTCAGCATAATTCCAAAGATATATCCTTTAAAAATTCGCAAACTGCATATTGGAAAACAACTTTTAAAAATTAGCTAGTAATTAAAGCATATGACACATGCTGCCAAGCCTTTGAACAAAATGATCCAAAATTGCATTTGGTAGTCTTCTAAACAAGTCCAGGTAAGCGTTCGGGATTTCTTCACACAGGTGGGTCCCTTTTATCACAGCCACATGTGGCTCAGGCCTCTCACAAGGGAATTCTTGATCCTGTGGGTTAATAATTATTTCAGCAGCATTTCCTACGAATCTTTCCTAGCCTAACTGTGGCTCCTGCTTCAGCTCTCCTGGGTTCTGTAGCAGCAGATGGGGTGTGAGACTGTTGACTACTGCGTCCCACAGCCCTCCTCTTGGTAAACTACTAGATTATTTATGAATCAGGAAAGTTTCAAAGAAGGCCCCATATGATGACTGCTCACGGAAGAATGTGCAGCATGGAGACTGTTAGTCACATTTACGGGCTTGTTGGGCAGAACTTTTAGCATTTCAGAGTCTGGATTTGTCAACTGGTTAATATGCCTGTCACTCTGCACCCTGTACTCACAAGACCTTGTCATACAGATTGCAGTGACTATCCTCAAGAAACAGGTAATAGTGCGTATACGACACTGGAGAATAATAGTAAATTGGTTATAAGAGTTTTTATAAACATTGTGTGGCTGTGCCAGATAATTCAAGATCAAATGTGATTCAGAAACTGCTTCAAATAATTTTAACTTGACTTTATTTATACTAATCTTTGTAGGAAAATAACTTTTTTTTTTTTTTTGCAACAACCCAGTACAGGGCACGAATAGGCATCTTTTGTCATTGAACTTGACATTTCCGATTGTTGGTTTGAAAGACAGGTAGGAATAAATGTGGGGAGAGAATGGCACGAAATTATATATGTTTAAAATGTATTTGATTCATCTTTATTTTTCAAATGGCTTCCATATTCTAAATAGAAGCAATTTTCTGCATGTGTGAAGTAGACGCAAGGATAGTTGCTCTGATAGGCTTTTACAGAGATGTAAGAAAGACAAAAATCCAACCAAACAAGGCAGAACTCCTCACTAAAATAAGTCCCGGGAAGAAGCCGAACCTTGCCTTGCATGCCCACCTTTTCTGCCATGTAGCTCTATGCGTTGTGACAGCAGCATACTCATCAGGACTCTGACAAGAAACATCTGTACTAAAATGTCACCCAGTACAGTTGTTTGGGGGCTGAATAGGAGCAAGTGTGTGTGTGTGTGTGTGTGTGTGTGTGTGTGTGAGAGAGAGAGAGAGAGAGAGAGAGAGAGAGAGAGAGAGAGAGCGCGCTAGATACACAGTCTATCAACAACACAGTGTTGCTTGTGAACAGGGTAAATCGCTGCTGTCCCCAGTTGCGTCCCTGATATCTCCATGGTGAAGCTGACTTCACCAGCAACAGTAACTGCTGCAGAGCTCCACAGGAAGGAGTCTGTGACACTTGCACTTTATAACAACTCCAAGACTGAAATTTCCTACCCTGTGGAATAGAAGCAGCCAGGAAATAGAATTCCAAGGACCTCAGCACATTAACAAGTGAATCAAACTGATCCAGTCACACAGGTAGCCAGGGAGAACTGGAAACTCTGAGGAAGGTGCTCACAGGAGCCCTGCTTTCCCTGGGAGTTTTCCCTGCTCAGACCTGTGCTGTGTCGCTTCCTAGTGATTTCTTCCTGTGAAAGTGTAGTTACTGGGACGCACACTGACTGTGTGTATCTGTTCCGCAGCCTCTGTGCTGGAGCTTTAGACCGAAATGGGTTGTACTCATAAAAGAAATCAACACGTTGGATGAAGAAAAGAATTCTAAACAAAGCCAAAACAAAGCCAGAACATTCTCTACCAGAAAACAGCTCTGCTCTTTTTTCCTGAAAGTAAAAGTTTCAAACCTTAAGCATTTTAGTGTATTTGCTGTTAAATTACTCTCTTTCCTCCCAAATTGTTGTACCCCTTAAAATGTCCCGGAAAATCATGTATTATCTTTCAAGATGTAGCAAATATTTGCAACTGCGCTGATGGTCAGCTTTGGCTGTAACATGGGGATGACTACAGTTTAAATATACATAGATAATTTTATGGTGTTTATACATTTACTTTAATAAGGCTTTCGCATTATACCTAATTTTATGTAAATGTTATTCAGATTTCCATCCGAGAGTTTTCGGGGGGAGGTTAAAAGGGCGCTTTCCCACTCAAATTAAGCAGTGACAAATATTATGACTTTTAAAATTGTTCTAAATGGCTGGGTTTGTTTACTAGGCTTGTGTTTACACAACATATTTTAACTCTTTAAATGAAACCTAATTTCGTAATGAAAGCCACAGTCAAAAAATAGGCCTGGGAATCTCACAAATCCAATATTGTGTTCTTTGTAAATGCCTTTCTGTGAGTTTTATTTAATGAAACAAAGTGCTATCACATTTAGAAAAATCAAGGAGAATAAAAATTAATCCAAAGGTTTAGATTATTTCCCCAGATGCCATATCTTATAATAAAAAATTACCCTGAAGATTTATGCTTAAAATGGAGAAGTAGTTTTAATATTTATGGAGAACATATATTTACTGAAAATACATGTTGTGGATAGAGGTAAATTGGCAAAGACTATTTTTGGGTTTAAAAATTACTTCAGAAAATGGTATTTTGAGACAGGAAAGGGAGAAATTAGTAATGGTTCCCCTAAGCCAGGACCACCATGCTTCTATATGTCACCTTCACAGAACTGGTCAGTGCAGTGAGTGGGCAAAGAGAGGCTCTGACCGAAACCCCTGCTAAAAATTCAGAACTGCATTTCAGAACCAAGTATTAATAGAATAAACTTAATTTAGTTTCCCACAAGAGCAGCTGCATTTCTATTTAATTATGGGTTTTCAACAGTAGTAATTTTTCCTTGACCTACTCAATCTCAAAAGTCAGGAAATTGCTTCTTTTTAAAAACTGACAATGGCGCGGTGTGTTTCCAAAGGGAAAAAAAAAGGCAAATTACAGAAAACCATTAGTTTAAGCATATTTAAAGAGCCAGGAAGAAGTTTTGACAGAAAACTTAGCAAAATATGAAGTGAAGTTATACATTGATTATATTGTATGGTAAAGCATATATGTTCAGTTGTTATAATATTTCATTTTTAAAGTAAAATAAAAATGTGTTGAATGATTATAAAAAGCCCAAATGCATTAAAGATGACTTAGTTCTTGCTCTTTGGTGGGGATATATAATTATAAATTTAGATATTTCATCTGTATCCTGTGCACCAGATGAACAGAATAAGGTATTTTCAAAGAGGAAAGTCTAGCTTGTGAAGAAGTGATGGGCAGGCCAGCAAGCTTAGGGAAAGAAATGTCAGCCCCAGAAGTTATTGAGAGATAAAGAGCGAGATACATTTTTGATTTAAATTGTTAAATGACATTGAAAAGTGTAAATATGGTTTTTTCCAAATGAAAAGCAGAAAGTCTTGGTTTAATAAGACAGACCAAAATCAAAGCAGAAGGATTTTAAAAATTAAAGGAGATTTTATATAATATGCTTTTATCAAACTATTAAGCTTTTTTTGTGGCATGTGAACAATTTGGGGCTTTGAGATTTTAACTGATCTCAGAAAGAAAAATTCAATAGGATAAATCAAATTGCAATTTAATTTTTTCAAACCTCTTTTTTTTTTTTTTTAATATGAGTGCATTGAGATTTCTCCTGATTCCTACATGGAGTTATCGTGCCATTGCTTAGAAAGGAGTTAAACCCAGGGAAAGGTTATTCTTTTTGAGTCTTAGTTATTAATAATTTTCTTTTCATCATTTGTGGTAACAACAGAAATTATATCTTCATAGCAAAATATGGTTTCAATACTCAGGTTAATTAAAGGGGCCGAGTTACACACTCTGAGCCATTGGCCCCATCAGGAAGTCAAAGGGAGCTTTTAATAAACAGCAGAGCTATTGAAACATTCACTACTTTGATCTCTGCTAATTTTGATAGAGTTGATATCCATCTGATGACCCAGAAGTCCTTTCTAAGTGCAAAAACTCAGGTCTCCCTGCAAGTCAGAGTTCCCAATTACTGTAATCTTTATATGGGAACACGCTTTGCGTTATGCTTACTGTCCCCCTTAGAATGCCATCAAATCGTAGATTGCGTAGTTTGCTTAGGGAATACCTCTGCTGTACTCCACCGCTGCTTGTGAGCAAGCCGGGTGGCACTCTAATGCTTAACAGCTTCTTCAGAGACTTTGAATTAAAAATGCTAACATTTGACAAAAATTTTAAAAAAAATCAATCAATCAATCAATCAATCAATCAATCAATCAATAAA